TAAGTAAAATTGAGTGAATAATTTAAAAGATGGCGTAGGTGTGTACAGTACAGCAGTATAACCTGTATCTGGTCTTTGTCCTGGCTTCCCATCACAGAGCGCCTTAAACTAAAGCCTTTGTAGTTTCCTGGCTAATAGGAGTGTTTTAAAATACATTCCCTTGTAGTATCTTAGTTTATGCTAATGAGGCGCCCTAGGGTGGGGCCCCTAGATCCTCCCCAGTAGGGGCTGTTCACCTGCAGGTCCTAGAGGTTAGAGGGTTGGGACTCAGCCCTGGAGGGAGGCTAGAGCCCAGGCTCTGTAAAGGACTCCTGTTTCTGGGAGTTGCGAGGAGAGTTGTATTCAGGATGTGGAAGCCCCTCCCCCCTCCCCAGTACTTGGCCTCATGTACACACTCCTTGAAAATTATTTGAAATATCCTTCATAACAAACTGAAGTGTTTTTCTGAGTCCTGTGAGCTATCTTAGCAAATTATTCAAACCCTAGGAAGAAGTAGTGGGAACTCCTGTTTTACTTACTATTATTATTATTTTAACTTGACCAGAGAGAGGGAAAGTGAGAAAGCGAGGTACCAGGCTGGGACTCGAACTGCAGTTGGCCAAGTGGCAGTTCAGCACCTTACCCACCATGCCACCTGCCGGTCCCCTGACCGATTACTTTTTATTGGTATCTGATGTGGGACTCCGCCCTTACTCTGGGGCCTGCCTGACTCCAGGTGTGTAGTGTCGTGAGTTGCCGGGGCCAGCTCAGCATGAACACGTTTTTCTGAGTGGCGGTTGGGTTATAGAACTCGCCACGGTGTCCCCTGGAGACTTGCTTGGTATGTGAGGGAAACACACACATCTGGTCATGGGAGTGTTCTGTGTAGTTGGTATCCAAGCGAGTGCCCAAATCCCATGGGCTGGAGAAGGGGGATCGTGGCGCCCTGTGGAGGGTGCTTCTCTCACACGCACTCTCTCACCCGTGCACATGGTCTGTCGTGAGTAAAGAAAATGAAAAGTACCCTGAGAGTAGACAGAAAAATGACTTTGCAGTGGATTATCTGGCACCTCTATTGTTTCCCTCTAGAGATTAATTTTGGAGGTTAAGTATCGAGGCTTTTTGTTTTTTTGCTGATGGGAGTCAAGGAGAGGTAAGGGCTGTGGCATGCCTGTTGTCTGGAGGAGGCGTCCCCAACTCCAGCACCAGATGGGAGCCAGGCTGCACAGCGGGGCATGAGCCAGAGTGAGCAAGTGAAGCGTCACCCGTGTTCACAGCCACTCCCGTTGCTTGTATGACTGCCTGAGCGCCACCTCCTGTCAGATGAGGCGGCACTGGGTTCTCAGGAGCGCGGACCTCTTAGGAACTGCGCATGTGAAGGATCTAGGTGGATGTTCCTTGGGAGAAGCTAATGTCTCACCTAGGTGGAGCCGAGGTAGTGCTGCTAGCACTGGGGAGTAGCTGCAAAAACTCATTATGGTGAGTCGTGTAATTATTTCCTTGTATGTTACAAAGTAATAGTAGAAGTAAAGTGCATGATAAAATATGAGGGCTGGAATTATCCCCAAACCATTCCTCTCCACCATCGGTAGAAACAGTTTCTCACAAAACCAGTCCCTGGCTGCCCAAGAGGTTGGGGCCTCTGGTCTAGGGGCAGTCCGTTGTGATTGGTGGATTTCAGCTCTGGTTTTGAAAATTTTATAAAATCCTTTTCCAATGGGAAGTACTCATATATTCTGTTGTTCTTGATTTTGTTGAGCTTAAGTTTTCTTTTAGGAGAGATGTTTTTGCTAACAGGGTGTGTGTGCTCGCTGGAGGGATGGAGACAGAGACAGAAAGTGACAAATCACCCCTCCCTGGGGCTGGGGGGAGATGGCCATGCTGCAGTTCCTTCTGCAGTCTGCTGTTGGAATTTTGGGTACGCATGCACATGCACCTGGCTGACGTGGTTTATGTTAATCAGACACGCTCTTACTGTGACCCTGCTGCTTCCTAGGGGTGTGACACTAGGCAAAGCTGATGGGAGTCAAGGAGAGGTAGGGCTGTGGCATGCCTGTTGTCTGGAGGAGGCGTCCCCAACTCCAGCACCAGATGGGAGCCAGGCTGCACAGCGGGGCATGAGCCAGAGTGAGCAAGTGAAGCGTCACCCGTGTTCACAGCCACTCCCGTTGCTTGTATGACTGCCTGAGCGCCACCTCCTGTCAGATGAGGCGGCACTGGGTTCTCAGGAGCGCGGACCTCTTAGGAACTGCGCATGTGAAGGATCTAGGTGGATGTTCCTTGGGAGAAGCTAATGTCTCACCTAGGTGGAGCCGAGGTAGTGCTGCTAGCACTGGGGAGTAGCTGCAAAAACTCATTATGGTGAGTCGTGTAATTATTTCCTTGTATGTTACAAAGTAATAGTAGAAGTAAAGTGCATGATAAAATATGAGGGCTGGAATTATCCCCAAACCATTCCTCTCCACCATCGGTAGAAACAGTTTCTCACAAAACCAGTCCCTGGCTGCCCAAGAGGTTGGGGCCTCTGGTCTAGGGGCAGTCCGTTGTGATTGGTGGATTTCAGCTCTGGTTTTGAAAATTTTATAATTACAAATCCTTTTCCAATGGGAAGTACTCATATATTCTGTTGTTCTTGATTTTGTTGAGCTTAAGTTTTCTTTTAGGAGAGATGTTTTTGCTAACAGGGTGTGTGTGCTCGCTGGAGGGATGGAGACAGAGACAGAAAGTGACAAATCACCCCTCCCTGGGGCTGGGGGGAGATGGCCATGCTGCAGTTCCTTCTGCAGTCTGCTGTTGGAATTTTGGGTACGCATGCACATGCACCTGGCTGACGTGGTTTATGTTAATCAGACACGCTCTTACTGTGACCCTGCTGCTTCCTAGGGGTGTGACACTAGGCAAATCGCCTAAACCTTTGAGGCTTCACCTTTCTGTCGATAGAATGGCCGTAATTCCAACTCTGCAGGAAGAGCTGGCGGAAGACTAGAGAGAGCAGGGGACTTAAGAGACACCTAGCCTGGCCACGCCAAGTACTTTAGGAGGGGCGGTCTTCGGCAAAGCCTCAAGGTGAGAAGCCGAGAGGGTGGGCGAGACCCTTGGTGGAAGAGCAAGGTCTCTGGGATGTTAAAAGCACTGATATGCATAGGTGTAGCCAAGAGGAGAAAACGGGAGTCAAAGCCTACCGAACTTTTGAGGGTGTTTTGCCACGAAGAGAGTAAGAGAAGGGCAGCAGTAGCTAGAGGGGAGTGGGGTCAGGACAGCCCCTAAACAGAGGACGTGCTGGGCAGGAGCCTGGCAGGCAGGGATGCGGTGGAGAGGGAGAGCCGCCTGAGTGAAGTCCGCGCTAGCGGGCAGGCCATGGGAGTGCTGGGTGCCTGGCGGACCAAGTGCTCAGAGGGCGGCAGCTTGTCCGCAGGCAAAGGCGGTGCTCCTAAAGGGCTCTTCTGGCCTCCATTTCACCGAGAAAGGAGAAGGCCGGCACCTGAGAGGGAAGGTGGAGAGGTGGTGGATGAGTCACCAGGAGAGGGGCCTTGGCTGGGGATTCCCAGTGGGACTCCTGGCCAGTGCAGTCCCCCGCAGGCTGGGTGCTGACGACGCTGTAACGTCTCATGGGGTCGCAGGAGTTGGTCCTCCAGCTGTGTTTAGCTGTGTGGGTGTGCCAGGCAGGTGGGGAGCTGATTAAGCCAAGGCCGTGGTTTGTCCAGAAGAAAAAGATAGACAAGGAGCGACACTCCATTTCACCTCGTTTCAGGGTGTACCTAGAGCAGATAGGATTTTTAAAGGAGATTCAACTACTAGCACAATGAACAGTAGTTCCTTAATATTAACTAACACTCAGTCCAGCTTCACATTGCTCAGACCCTCAGCAAGGCCTTTTCACGCCTGATTATTCAGGTCGGAACCACACGCGTGTGCATTGCACCTGGTAGCTGTGACTGAGTCGCTTTCCCCATATCCATTCTCCTGTGCCATTAATTTACTGAAGAAATTGGATCTTTTGTTACCTAGACTTTCTATTTCCTACTTCTGGCTGACTATTCTTGTGGCATTTTTTTTTTAACTATTATTTTCTTTTAATCGTGGTAAATTTACATAATGAAATTCACCGTTATAGGCCATAATGTCAGTACATCCACACCACACCGTTGGGTGTGGCCCAGTCTGCAGGTCTGGGTAGGAGGGGCAGCGCTCAGGCCTGGGTAGGAGGGCAGCGCTCAGGCCTGGGTAGGAGGGCAGCGCTCAGGCCTGGGTAGGAGGGCAGCGCTCAGGTGCTGTGCTCCTTGCGTCTCGTGGAGGCCGAGAGTGACCACTGCAGTCAGGTCTTGCGCCTGATTTACACTTTTTCCATCGAGATGTTTTCCCCTTGATGGTTTTATGCTCGTTGTTAGTTGTCCAGATGTCCTTATTTCATTCGAGGCTATAAATTAGCGACGTGCTGATTGCGTAACTACATTTATTAGCTGTGCTCTGTTAAGAGCATTCGCTCGTCTAGTTTATGCCAGAAAAGCAGGATCGGCACTGTTTGTTTTCCAGTTTTCGGGTGACGAGGAGGTGTGGTGTTCACTGTTAAGATGACAAGTCTCAGCAGTCCAGGATGACTTATACGTGGTCTTGTGGTCTTCAGATTGTCTTGCACTCGGCCAGTGGGAGCCTGGTCCCGCTGCCTCCTGTGTCCTCCACAGTTAGATCCTCGTTAGCACCTAAGCTCTTTTGTGTCTGTCCTACCCTGGTTCCTTTCAGTGATATTTAGACGTCGTAACGTGCAGTGTTCACTTTAAAAAGTTGCTGTTACTTGGGGCCAGCAGGTGGCATAATGGCTAAGGCGCCGGACACTCCCACATGGCCAACCACGGTTTGAGTCCTGGACCTGGTGGCTTGCTTTCTCACTTTCTCTCTCTCTCTCTGTTTCTCTCTGGTCAAATTAAAATAAATGAATAAATAAATAAAATTAAATAAATAAATTTTTAAAAAAGATGCTGTTACTAAGGAATTCTGATTGGTTCCTTTTCTTCATTCAACAGGCATGCCCCAAGAAAAGTACGAGCCCCCTGACCCTCGGAGGATGTGCACTGTTATGTCCTCTGAGGGGGCGGCAGATGGAAAGAAATCTCACTGGGCAGAACTTGAAATAAGTGGTAAGACCTGGGAGCAGGGATTCTTGGTTTGGGAGTATGATATGGTAGAAAATTAAGTTTGCTAAGCCCAATACACAGAAGAAAACAACTACCACGTTTCACAGATGCCGTTGGTCTCAGAAGCAGAAAGGCTCATTGGAAAGGACACGGTCTGACTCCGAAGGTCAAAGCCATCCGTTGCTTGTTCTCTGGAGATGAGCGTCTTTGTACAGTGGGATTGTGTAACACGGAGGGTGCAATGAGGATAGCACACGCCAAGTGCCCGCAGGTTGGCTCTGCCGTAGGTCTCTGAGAAGGTGGATTGAGCTTCTGCGTTGTCCTGATAGGTTTGCGGCAGGGTAGGAAGTGGCTGTTCTCTGTAGGTTTGGGGATAAATTGGTATCTTGTTTTTTTATTTGCTTTGCAGTCTTGAGTTTCTGACGACAATTCTTTTCAAAAAATCTGAAGAATTTGAGCCAGATCTTAGAGTTTCTACCTTTAATGCAGTCTAGACATATTCCAGAAGTGTCTGCGCTCCCAGCCCCACCAGGGCTACCCTTCCCCAGTGTGCCTGCCAGTGGGCAACGCCGTCAGGTCAGTGTTTCCAAGGTGGGGACGGGCACAGCTACTGCTCAGGGCAGCCACTGCTAACCGGGCTCTGCTTACTGCTGGCCACATGGCTTCCACACTCCTGCCAGTTGGTCCTGATTCTTGCCCTCCAGAATATTAATAGCACAAAACAGATGTTCTCTTCTTTCACAGGATTGCCCTTAGCTTTTTTTTTTTTTTTTTTTTTTTAGGTTTTCGCTATAGGGCGCATGAGCTTGCCAGACAGAGAGAGACATAGAGACAGAAAGCCAGAAATCCCCCCCCAGGGGGGATGGTCACGCCACAATCCCTTCTCCTCCATTCTCCCCCCGGGATCCTGGGCACGCACGCACACATGTTCGGCGTGAGTTTTAAACCACCGGGTCCGGGACGCAAACCGCGGTTGACTACATGGGAGTCCAGCGACATAGCTATTACGCCAACTGCTGGTTCCCCCTTAGCTTTTTAAAATGTTTCGCAGAAGCACACTGAGCGTGTGTGTGTGTGTGTGTGTGTGTGTGTGTGTGTGCAGGCGTTTACCTACTGCTGTCCTGGGCAGATGGAAGATGCAAATGGTGTAGTCCCTGTCCTTCCGGAGCTCCCGGCACGCAGGGAGTGATAGGAAGGGTGCAGCAGTGTAAGCAGTACATCGGCAAGGTGCAGCTACCAAATCTGGGTATGGAAGAACTACACAGGAGGCAACACGGAAATACTGAGATCAGCACCCCTCCCTGGTCAGTGCGAGTTCCCGTTACCCACCGAGTAGAGCGCAGACACGAAGCCTCGGCAGTGATTGCAGCGACGGGGTGTCCTCTGTTCTCCTCGCTCTGACATGTACCCGCTGTGCCTGATCAGACCCGGGTCAGCTCCGTAAAGTCAGTGTGGCAGTGGAGATCGAGGTTCCTGCCTTCTGGTCCCGTCCTGTCGGATTCGACTTTCTGTCCCGGGAAGCATGCTCTTTGCTTTAGTATGTGTTCTCAAAGCATGGGCAGTCACCACCCCCACTTTTCTCTTTTAATTTCTACAGCGCTGATATTTAACTATATTTTTCTCTTCTTCAGCCTATATTAGCAGGTTTGGTTTTTTTCTGGAGAGGTGTTTGCTGTAGGGTACGTGCGTGCGCCACAGAGACAGAGAGACAAGCTGTATCTGAGTCTCGGGGTTCTGTGTTGTCACCTCCCTCGACCTCACACTTGGCCCTCTAGAGTCATTGTTGCCTGCTTACTCTGGATTTTCCAGAGAAGTTCTGTATGCAAGGC